GTTAACGTGCAACCTCTGTCGGGGTCGCCCGCAAATTTTCAAGTGTAAGTTCACTATAGTGAAATGCGATTAATATGAGTTATTGGAGTTTCACAACCCGTTTTACGTGAAGTGGTGTGAAAAACGCGATATTCGCGGCCTGTAGTAGTCGTGAAATATGTTTTTCATATCACGGTCCGTGAAACTCCATTGTTATTGTTATTGTTATTGTTATTGTTATTGTTATTGTTATTGTTATTGTTATTGTTATTGTTATTGTTATTGTTATTGTTATTGTTATTGTTATTGTTATTGTTATTGTTATTGTTATTGTTATTGTTATTGTTATTGTTATTGTTATTGTTATTGCTATTGAGATACACAGCTTTGATGGAGCCACATGAAAGGCTGATGGCATTGGACTTACCGCATGGGGGCCACCTCTCGCATGGTTATCAGACTGGTGAGAATTGGGGTGAAATTATTAATATTAATAATATTAATAAATAATAAGTTTCTTATTATTATTTATAATGGAGTTTCACCACTTGCGATATGAATAGCTTATTTCGCGACTACTGCATATCACCGTAATATCACCGTGAAACGAGTGGAACTTCATTAATACAAAGAGGGGGCGGAGCTCGCTCGCCCACAGCCGAGAACTCGGGTGTATGTGAATTCTCTCATCACCAATATTCTGTATCGTGTATTGCCTAGAACTGTTGTGATTGCAAGCGAGCAAGAAATGTTCGAAAAAAGCGTGTGCTGGGAATCGAACCTGTGACTGTTGAAAACCATCCGAGCTCTGCAAGATCTATATTCTAGTAGTATTGGAGTTTCGCTCGTTTTACGTGAAGTGGCGTAAAACTCCGTAAAAAACGCGATATTCGCGCTATACAGTAGTCGTGAAATATGTTTTTCATATCACGGTCCGTGAAACTCCACTGATTGATTATTCACATACTGATATAGTATATATTTCATTATAGGTTTTCTCCGTGATATGAAAAACGTATTTTAAACTCCATTTCGCAAAAAACGCATGTGAGCAGTGAATAACACTAGCCTTATTGGTTTCCCTATAATATAAAATCACGCTAGTCTATTGGTTGAAAACAGTGGTAGAAATTTTTCAAGGGTTGTGAGAAATTTGATTTCAATTTTATATACCGTGTTTTTCGCTGATCGTTTTGTGATAAAGATACTAAAAAAGTCTCAATGGTTTCTAAGTTCTGGACGTCGATGCCCTACAGGCTCGATGAGAACACTGGAGTGATAGACTATGAGCAACTCGAGTTGTTGGCGACACGGTAAGAACATTTGTTAAATTTGAGTTGTTCTGTATTGTGGCAATGTTTGAAGTATGCGCGAGTTTTTTGGGTTTTTCTTCCGAATTATCGAGAAAAATTATGCGGAAATTCTTTCATAGTTGAATTTTTTCACGCTCGAGTGAGAAAAATGAGAAGTTATATGAAATAATATGCGGTTACCTACATTGTGAATTGTATGCGCAATCTGAAGACCTTATTTCGACTGGCACCCCCACATTTGCAACAACTGCTTTAGTCAAATTTCTATATCGTTGAAGTTATGTCACGAACTTGATTTTCGGGGAAAAAATTCCATTTTCACACTTTTGTATGAAGAACGAGGGGAAAAATGAGAAGATTTGAGGTTTTTTTTGGAATTTTTGGACGGATTTCATTCCCTATGCATAGCTGATATGTTTCAGGAACAATCTGACTCGGTAGTTTATCGTGTGTAAATTTATATGAAATTATGTCAAGGCAAGATTTTAAAAGAATATTATTTTTTCCGTATAATGGAGTTTCACCTCATTAGCAGCTTACATATGTATAAGTATAAGAATCATATGTACGAGAATCAGTATGTATAAGAATCATCGTTTTCGCTCCGCCCTGTTAGTGACTAATCGTTGAGTTTTTGGTATTTTAATTTAGAACTAGGCAGTCTTTGTTAGGTTTCGGCCTAAGATTCTTATCACGGGTTATTCTGCTTATCCTCGTTACCCCGATTTCAAACGCTTCCGGGAGATCGCGGACAAGTCAGGTGAGTAAGGCGAGCACTCGGCTGTATTGTTGTTGAGGCATGTCATGAAACCCGCGCAGGTTCGATCCTCATGTGCGACATGGCGCATATTTCTGGACTTGTTGCGGCAGGGGTGAGAACTGAGGTTTTTGGTTTCAACAGCTCGCGTTTTCTACAGCTATCGAAAGTTCTTAGTGATTGAAAATAAAAAATGTGATTATTTGAGAATAATCGTCTCCAAAAAATGCGAACAAGAACTTATAGGGGAACAATGGTTACATCATTTTGTGGTACTATAAAAAATATCATGAAAAATAATAGAAAAAATAGAAAAAAACAGAAAAAAATAGAAAAAAATAGAAAAAAAAATAGAAAAAAATAGAAAAATGAAAGAAAAAAAAGAAAAAAATGTGAAAAATGTGAAAAATAAAAAATATATGGAAAATAAAAAGAAAGTCATTTTATGTAATGGTAGTGTCGTTAAGGTTCATCCATCGCCATTCGAGGACTGTGATGTTGTTACTACTACCACTCACAAAACTTTACGAGGTGACTTTTAATGGTAACTTGTGGATTCTATTTCACACTACTAAACAGGTCCACGAGGCGCGATGATTTTCTATCGTGTTGGTCAGAAAGGCGTTGATAAAAAGGGAAATGTTGTCAAGTATGATTTTGCGGAAAAAATAAACTCGACAGTTTTCCCGGGCTTACAGGTGAGAAAACGACTATTAAATTTCTGTGAAGTGCTTTTCTTGGTTTTGTTATCGCGTGAGATGCGTTCCGCAGTATATCGTGATTGAACCGGTATGGTTGGTAGTCTTAGATGTTGGAGGGTGAGTCTGTGTATATTATAATGGAGTTTCACCCGTGATATGAAAAACATAATTTACATTTCACGTGGCGAATATTGCGTTTTCATCATTGAGTAGTACGCCACTTCACGTAAAACGGGTGAAACTCCAATTCATGCTGTATTCTATGTTATGATTTATATCTATAACAGGTTGCCCTGTTGATAGTTAACGCAACAGTTGCGTCGCCACTAATACCGTTACGTTTATAACCTTATTTTTCGTATGAGTAATTAAAGGAATAAAGTGTCTTAGCTTAGCAGTAGACACATTACACTTAACGTTAATGATAACAACAACGCACAACTCGGACTGTCACATATCAACTATTAACAGCAATAAGAGAGACTATATTATACTAGCATTAAGGTGTACAGAGGGAAATCATTTTCCAATGTAAACGTCAGTTCGTGCGAAGTTATATATCGCGAATCAAACGGCTCGTGGATTTGATAAAAATTAAAATGGGTTTCATTTTTCTATGACCTGTTGTTGTGGTTGGAATTTTATATGGAATATATTTCATCGATTTTCAGGGTGGCCCTCATAACCACATCATCGCGGGATTGTCTGTTGCTCTAAAACAGGCGGCATCAGTTGAATTTCGAGAGTATCAACAACAGGTGAGTAAAGAGGTAAATTAGGATAACTCTTGTGAGAATAATATTAGTATTTGTTCATGAGCATAATTTTTATATATTTCATTTTTGGGCATGAGTACGGGCATTGCGGCGAAATTATGTTACTGGAGTTTCACCTGTTTTACGTGAAGGGGCGTAAAACTCGGTGAAAAACGATTGACGAATCATGCCTGCTGCGATGTCGATCATATTGGAGTTTCCCTCGAGATATGAAAAACACTAGTGAAAAACATATTTCGCGACTACTGCATATCACCGCCAATGACTAATACGCCACTTTACGTAAAACGGGTGAAACTCCGCTTCCGTAGAACACAGCTACTCTTCTCGTCGTAAAGAGAGAATACTATCAAGTACATTGAGTAAAAAAAGTGCAATGAAATTTCTCCCGAAAATCGATCGCGGACAGTTTCCATGCAATATAACTGGATTAGAGGGCTTCCCATTTGGAGTTGTCCTGTAGAAAAAGTTACCTCTGCAGACGTATTTTCGGTCTTTAGATGACGTGTACTGTACTTGCAGTAGGAAATCAAAACTTAGCTTACCTTTGGTTTGTTGATATCTTGTTGTCATAACACAGCGCACGAGTGTATTCTCTTTCGATATTATGGAGTTTCACAACCCGTTTTACATGAAGTGGCGTAAAACTCGGTGAAAAACGCGATATTCTCGGTGATATGCAGCTGTTGTGAAATGTGATTCTCACTAGTGTTTTTCATATTACGGGTGAAACTCCAATAAACGTCTTAAACAAGGAATAACTTTATAGTACTTTCTCCTCCACAGTGTTCAACTAGTAAAATTTCCTTATACATTGTTAGCATGGGTTCAACTTCAGAACTAAGATTAAAGGAGTTGGTGATAGGAGTGTTTTACGTGAAATATGATGATTCTCCTGGTGTAATTCGCAAAGTGTTTTCAATTCGCGAATATCACGTTTTTCACGCCACTTCGAGTAAAACGGGTCGTGAAACTCCACTTGTTAGCATGGGTTCTACTCTAGAACTAAAGTTAAATGTGATATTACGTAACGTAGTACGTCATAATGATATTGTGATAACGTCATTTACGTTGAGTTGGTGATGGTGCGGTATCAGGTTGTTGCCAATGCTGCAGCGTTAGCCGGCGAAATGCAGAAATTAGGATTTAAACTCGTTTCTGATGGTGAGAACTAGTAAAGGTGTTTTTATGAACTACAGAGTTGACGATCAGGCACCGATAATCATTTGATGCTCGTAGACTTGAAAAATAAGGGCGTTAATGGCAGCAAAGTTGAAAAGGTGAGACCAACATCATTTGTGGCGTTTCTTATATGCCAAAAACGTGATAAAATTACGCACGATGTAGGTTTAGGAATGAGTAGAGCAGTGCTGCAAAATATGTAATCGCTGTTCTCAGCTGAGCTCAATGGTTTCCTTACTAATCATAGGAGTTTATGTACGAGAAGTTGTCAGGAATTCTCCAAAATTTCCTCAGAATTTTGATGTTGTTACCAACACTTGTGCAAATTTTACCACACTGGAGTAGAATTGGTGTAATGAGAGGCGTTTAGAATAATAGTTGGGGAGCACCGCATAAGAAGAGGGTATTTGCTGAAAGTTTGAGAGTAGTATGTGATAAAAATTTGTGAAAGCGATTTGAAAATGTGATTTTTTAAC